AGTGTGCTTCTCGATCCCTTTGGGATTCGTCAAGCAATAGATGCTGCAATTTCGGAATTGCACGGCCTTCAGGTCCAGATTGCCGTCCTCATCGTCATGTGGCACATACCAGAATGGAGCCGTGCTGCCGGTCAAGGGGGAGGACTCAGTTGCAAGCTTCAGGGCTTTGGGCGGCAAGACGAAAAACATGGTGCCTGCATTGTCCTCCAGCACAGCATGCTTCTGGGAGTCCCCGGGGGCCTTGAGGGTGAGCTTCGATGCAGTGTCGGTAACGGGCACGAGAAGCAACTCCCCAGCCTTGATCTTCTGCTTCGTGTACAGCTTCTTGGAGATGCCCTCAATGCCCACCATGTCAAATACCTTCTTCTCTAGCTTTTCCGCTGCGGCCAAAAGCATGGTCCACAAGTCAGCCTGCTTGCTTTCAGCCTGGAGGCTCCGACTTGGATGATTCGCAAGAGCATCCTTTGTCTGCAAGATGAAGGGGGCAGGGGACTTGCTCAGCTTCAGAAGCTTGAGGCAGTCGGAGGTCGCGATCTCTGCCTGACCGGTCTGAAAGAGACCTGCTGCCTCCAGTACCAGCTTGTCACTGCTGAGGTCGACGAGTCGCCACAAGCCTTCGTCGTAGGTGTAGAGGAGCCCTTTCTTTATGTCCATCTTCTGCTGTGCCAACCACAGCGGATCGTATGCTTCTCCCAAGGCCACAAGCGGCGCCGACGTACTGCTAGCCGTTGGAGAGCTCGTTGGCGCTGGCGGAGCTGAGCCTGCAATGTCAACTTCGAAGGCCTGGAAGATGGCAGTCAAGGAGGAAAAAGTCTTGCCTTCACGGCCCATCTTCCTTAGATTTGCAGTGACACCAGTATGTGTCAACATCTGTGTTTCTGTCTGGACTCCAGGCAACATGCCTCATAAAGACAAGGCCACAATTTATTACAATGGAAGGCTACCGAGTATCTCTTTGTCCACCACGTGCAGGCAGCAGCGAAGGCAAAGGATACCGAAGCTTTTCGCACTGTTGGGCAATGAAGCTTCGATGCGGTTCCATGCCTTGTAGAGCAGCTCTTCGGCTTCAATAGCCAAGCTTTGCAGCTTTTTGTTCTTGAGCTTCTCGACGTCACTTTTCAGCAGCAGGCGAGCATAGCCATTGCTCACCCTGTGGCTGGTGAAGTTCGTTGCCAAGAAGGCCAACCGAAGGCACGGATACTGCTCGGGCAGGCTCATGACAAGGCTTGTCCAAAAGTCTTCGCCCAAGTTTACATTCTGACCGAATTGCTTCGAGAACGGCACCAAGAACTTGAGGAAGGTTGCCTGGTTGGAGAATTGGGTCACCCAAGTTGCCAAGTGCTTGGCATAGTGGTGAAGCGGTCCACCCTGGGTTGCTTCTGCAGCCACATCCTGCAAGTTGGTCGTGTCACCTTTGCTCCGATCAACCAAGTACAAGCAAAGCTCCAGCTCGTTGGGCCCCGAGAAAGTAGCATTGCTCGCATTGAGAGCACGTTCGGCCAGCTTCGGCAACTGCGGCCACTGTTTTTCAACCGAGTTCGCAATCACAGTCCATGTCCACCCAGCTTGCAGTAGCTTCTTGAATTCGGCATCCTCACACAGAGCCTGCACGTTCAGCTTCCCTGTGGAGTCAGCCAGTGTGGCTTCGGAAGTCCTGCATCCGTGGGCTGCAGCCTTGACAAACTGGCTTGTGTGCCCAGCAGAAACAGACAAGTGCCGCTCATGCTGGCCCACGGCTCCAAGCAAGCCCGCACTCTGGGACACCATCTCTTGGTTGAAAGAAAACTGTCCTTGGCGAACTGTTGGGTCATCAGAGACTTCGAAGCAGAAGCTGCTGTGTAGGAATGATGCATCCCACCCTGTCTTCATAAGAGAAGCAGCCTTGGCATGGCAAGAATGTGGGTTCACACCCATTCCGCCCCTGTTTGCTGGATGGACCAGCATGCCATCTGCCCGTAGGACTGCAGTCCAAGCAAGCTTGTTCTGCTTCAACACTTGCACGATGCTGTTCCACATCGACAAGGGAGGGCTGAGCTTCTGCAGCTCGGCTTCAACAGTCGCTACAACGTCGGCCGGCAGCGACATGGCAAAGGCAAAGCTTTCTGCAGCAGGAGCTACCTTGTAGCCCAAATGCTCTTCCGAAAACAACATAGCACACCATGCAACTGACGAGGGACGAAAGGAGCTTGTTCATTGTGGAAAAATCGCCAGGCTGCCTCCCAGCCTTGGGTCTTCTAAAGCATGAGCCCTCAGGCTTTTAAAACTCAATCATGCGCTCAGCCCTAAAGCTTTTCAAACTATCCAGCCATGCAGCTTCTAAAACGACTTCAAACATGAAACATCCAGCCATGGGGGCTCTTTTCTGATCATGAAGCCCTAAAGGCCCTAAAGCTTTTCGTGGAGCCCAGCGGCTATTGAAACATCCAGCCCTCAGGCTTCTAAAACCATTTCGTGCAGCCCAGAGGCTACTAAAACATCCAGCCCTGAGGCTTCTAAATCCAGCAGCCCAGAGGCTATTAAAACATCCAGCCCTGAGGCTTCTAAAACCACTTCATGCAGCCCAGAGGCTATTAAAACATCCAGCCCGCAGGCTTCTAAAACCACTTCATGCAGCCCAGAGGCTATTAAAACATCCAGCCCGCAGGCTTCTAAATCGTTTGGTGCAACTCAATTCTCCTAAAACCAGAAACTTCCTGCAACCGTCAGGCTCGCAGCCTGCAAACGCAACATGAACACGAACCTTTGCGGGCTTTGCAAACAACAGCAACACAAAAATGAAACCATATGTTTTGCACACAACTCGCCCGGTTCTTCGCATGCTTGGCGGGAAAAACACACGACAAAACAAACATAAAAAGAACCACATGTCGATATCTAACCACTTAGCTGGCTCTTCCTTAACCACTTCATAAACCCGATAAGTGCTTAAGTGTTTTGGGTTAAGTACTTGACGAAACACTTAGCTTTCACTTACCCTTTTCACTTAACCACTTACCTCTACAGCTAGCTTCTTAGAAGCATTTTCATAAACCATCTAACTCCCTGAACCCATTAGGGAGCTTACAGGGATTATAAGTGCTTGGAACTTGTTCTAAACATTTGTATGTGGATTTGAAAAGCTTGCAAGGTGTTCTGAACCTTTTACAAACACTATAAGTTCTACTAACCACGCGGGTCTTCCAAGTAGCGCACTGATCACGTGGCGTTTCTGCCGCCGCTGGCTTTTCACTCGTTGCTGCTCTGTCAAAGGCTCTGCTTCTCGCTGCATTTTCGGGCACGCAGAGTCTACGTACTCCGCGATCTCAGACATGATGTTGAACACGCGACACAGCAAAGCATCTTGAAGTTCGTCCGTGTGCTGCGGGTCCATGGCGAAGCTAAGCAACTCCACTAGCGACACTTCTTCCAAGCCGCTCGGGCTCGATATCCAAGGCTTCGTTTTCTCCTTGCGCTCAGCCTCCCAAATATCTTTGATATGCTCCTCATAAAACTCCTCTGTCCAAAAGTTTTTGCCCGACACATGTCCTCTGAAATCCACGTTCAAATCCAAGGCTTGGTCGTCCCCAAACCTTTCATGCTCAAGCTTGAACCCGCCTAGCGTGCTCGCTAACACCGACAGAATCTTTGCAAACCCGGAGGACGCGAAAGCCCTGTCCACTCTGTTCTTGTATTTGAAGTTTATGAGGCACGCCGCGGTCGCAACAAGCACGGACGTGGCAAATGTCCGTTCCTTGAACCATGCTTCCTGATCCGACGCACGTTTCTTTTTGCTAAAAGGGTTCTGCTTGGGCTCCCTATGCGGAACTTCGAAACCAGGCCAAATCATGCGGTGGTAGTCATTGATGTTTGGTTGTTGATCCCGAAACAGCTGCACACGCTTCTTGTCTTTCTTCGTCCGGAAGAACAACTGAAGAACCTGCGCTGGAGGTGCACAGCTTAGCTAATGCAATCGCACGTGTAGACACTACGCCACTACGCAGGTCTGACTCACAAGAACAACAGACATTCACCGAGACGGGACGACAGAAAAGAGCAGCCTCCATCGCCACCCATTCACACTGAACTGTCTCGGAGATGTAGACCGTGACATTCCTGCCCGCCAGTTGCAACGCACCTGAGCCATGACGAAGGCTTGGATTGACAACCTTCTCAATACATTCAGCGGTTTGGCACTGGGACCGACACTCCGCGAAGTGAAGAGTAGAGAATCATCAGTGCCATCCGCCATGAGGATCACTGCCTAGATTTTGAGCGGTTGGCCTAATTCCTGCTGCTGGGATCTTGTAAGCGTAAGCTCCCGACTGATGACGAACAGCCGGGTGCGATCGGAGAACCATGCGGAAAGCAAGGTGAAATCACTGCATTTTGCCACGCATTCGAGTCTAACAATCACAAGACATGGCAGCACAGCTACATCGTGTTGTTCTTCTCCCGATTGCCATGCACAAATGCGCGCTGCACACTTAGAACGCGCGGCTGTCATGCTCCCCTGACTGAAGCCTCGCATGGCCCTGCGATGGGCAGTTTTCAAGACAAGCAGCACACTGGAACAGTGAAAGCAATCCAAAACTTCAGTCAAATTCAGGGTCATGAACACAGTGCTTAATTAGTCACTAATTTGGCTTTAGTTGGGGTGACAGCAGAATAAGACCAAAATAGCTTATTCCAGCCTTATTTTCTTATTTTGCTCGGTTCGGAACAAGGCCTTAATAGGGGTCTAATAAGGCTCTATTGGGGGGGGAGGGAGTAAGGGGGGGGTTAGCTAAGATCTTCATGATTACAGCTTGAACAAGTGCTGTGCCTGCTGAGAAAACACTGGGCTCAAAAAAGGCTCCAGGCTATCAGCCAGCTTGAAGGCAGTGCCTCCTTAGCCAAAGGGGTTGACTGGACGGTTGGTAAGAAGTTGCTTCGCAAGCTTCCGCCGTTACAGAAAAAGAGCCTCCAGGCAGTCTGGCAAGGTGCCCTCCGCTGTGGAAAAAAGGCTTGGTGCACGAGGTGCAATGCACCTGCCACCCAGCAGCACCTGCTCTGGGATTGTCAATGGTGGCATGACCATGACACTGTTCCCGAGCAGGTCGAACAAGCCCTGGCCTGGTCCCCGCGGACCAGCCCGAATCTTTTGATCACCCTCCGGTCCTCGAAGGCCTCTGGAAGGAAGGCCTCATCCTGGAAGACCCCGATATCTTCTATGCCACGGATGGCTCGCCCGGGTCCACCAACGATCCTCGCGCCTGGAAGCTCACTTGGGCCGCCATCGCTTTCAAACTTAAGGCTGATGGCATCGAGGTGGTCGCCTCGGCGGCCGGCCCAGTCCCGGCCGAACAGTTTGTTTTCCGTGCGGAGGCCTGCGCTCTCCTCTTTGTTGTTGAGCACACTGCCGGTGACATTGATGTCACTATGGACGCCAAGAGCGTCAAGACCCGAGTGGAAAGGCGTTCCCTTGGCCGCACTTCGCTGGATTTGGTCTACCCAATCCGAGCACAGGCTGAGCGGCTTCACCTTCATTGGATTCGCAGCCACAAGACCCTTGAATCTCACTGCCAGACCTTCGGCAGCCAATCCGCCTGGAGATGGCATGCCAACCAGGCCGTCGACAAACTTGCTGGTGACCATGCGAACCAATCCCGCGACCGGCTTTGGGAGGGTCAGCTTGTGGCACGTGATGCGGATGCCAAAGTTGTCCTTGGTTTCCTGGCGGCTCGAGTTGCCACCCTTTTCGAGTACGACAAGGACCAAGGCCCGCAAGTCCAGTTCGAAGGAGAGGCCACTCCTGACAACCGCAAAGGCAGGGCTTCGGGCTTCAAACGGAAAAGCAAGATCATCCGGCCCGAGCCTGCCAAAACCCCAAGCCAAAGTAGCAAGCCCAACAAAAGGGACTTGTTGCGTCAAGCCGTTCTCAGTCCCCAGCTTGGGCACACCTGGAAGTGGACCTCTGAACACCAAAACGGGGCACGCATCAGCTGTACCACTTGCAAGCTGGGTGCCCAACAGATTTCCCCGGAACAACAGCTTCGGCGGATTTTGGCACAACCCTGTGTCGGGCACTGCTCTCAAGAGATTTTCCTCAGTTTCTGGAAGTGCCACCCGACCCACCGCATGGTTTTCGAAGGTACCCTCTGGAGGTGCACTGGGTGCAAACGAACTCACAAGCCTGGGTCTGACACCCTGATCCACTACCTGTTGGACCCCTGCAAGGCCAAACCCAGCCCAACTGGGGCTAAACCCAAAAAGGAGCAGGTGCCTGGCATAAGGGGCATTGCCTCCCTGTTTTCTGCCCTCTCTCGGGTCTCGGGAGAGGTCGGCCCAGCACCCAGCAACCAACAAGCCCCTGTGGCTAAGGCCTTGGGCACTGGAGGCGGACCCAGGGTTCCTGGTTCAACCAGACCCTCGACTAAATCAATGCCCAGGCCGCTGGTGCAGGCAAACCCTGATGCCACCCAGCCCCCGGCTCCCAGCTTGGAGGTAGGTCAGGAGGGCCGGTCTACGGGTTCCCATCCCGAACTGCCCCAGTCTCCTTTTGCCCGGGCACAAGGCTCGGGGTTCCGACCAATCAACCCGACCCCTAAGCAGGGCAAACGGAGTAAAACTCCAAGGGCTTCGACGGAGCCTACGGGCGGTCCCAAGCAGGCAAAACTGCATTTTGGGGCGCCCAAACCCCCCCCCTTGTAGGCGCACCGCGCCTGGCCCCGAGGTCCCTCCCGTTGCTTGCTTCTCTCTTTCTCTCCGCAGCTGTTTGGTTCACAGGCGGGCAGCCACCATGGAGAAGGCCAGCCCAGCCGAGCCCCCCAGCAGGGGCAGAGAGCCGGCTAGGGAGAAGGGCCCAGAACGGGGTCGCAGCAAGGGGAAGTCCCCGGCTAAGGGCAAGGGTCCAGACCCAGCCAAGGGCAAGGGTTCCACCCGGCCCAAAGGAAAGGACCCAAAAGGAGCACAACCTGGCCGGGGAAAAAGCCAGTCCCACAACCCGGCTGAGCACAGCAAGGGTGGAAAAGGAAGCCAGGACGCCGCCACTGGCAAAAAGCACAGGTCGAAGAGCTCAAAAGAGTACTCCCAGCGCCGGGCGGGGAAAAAACAACGGGCCGCTGGCCAGTACTACAGGTGGTCGCGTCCCTTGCAGGCGGAACAAGAGCAGCACCGCGACACCCCGCCCCCACCGGTGCCCAAGCGCCGTGGAGGGCGAAAGGAGGAGGATGAGAAAAGTGCTGCCTCGTACTCTTACTACTCTTCCTCCCGTTCCAGGTCGCCCAGGGCCAAGGAAAAGGCGGCTACAAAGGGCAAGGAGAAGCCTACCAAGGCCCCGGCCCACACGGCTGGCCAACGAATGGCCGTCAAATCCAAGGCCAAGCCCTCTCCTGAAGCCGAGGAGGCTTCGGGTTCCCCCGAGCCACTAGCGGCCTCTGCTCCCTCCAGCTCCCAGGCAGGGGTTCCCCCGCCTGCTGTGAACCTCACACGGGCGGCAAAAGAAAAGGAATCCCCGGCCTTTGCTGAGGAAGAGAAGGGTTCCCCGGGTGGGTCGATGGTCCTCTCTCGAGCCCTGCGAGGAGGGCGCTTCCTGTTCCGGATCTGGGTGTGAACATGCAGTTCACTATCCAGCTGAAGGATGCCTCCAAGGAGGCGTGCTCAGGGCGCTACCTGCACGCTGCGTCTTTGGTGTACTTTGCACACCAGGACCGCCAAGGCGCGGAGCCGGGCTCCCCGCAGAAGGTTGCCACGGCCCTGGAAGTGCTTGGCTTAGGGGGTTCACGAGTGGTTTTCCGCTCGCCTTCCAACCCGGCCAAGTGCTGGAAGCTCTCCAAAAGGTCGCAGGAGGCAGAGCGTGACCTGTTCAAAGTCACCGGCCCCTGGACCCCGCGGCACACCAGGGCTTTGGGTGTGCACCGTGTTGTCGAGGAGGGCAAGGGCGGCACCTCCTTCTTCGCGTCTCTTTTGGAGACGGAACTCGTGGATCCTCTCCCCATGGTCAACCCGCCGCTGATCTTCCAGATCTTCCTAACGGTGTGCCAAGCGGCAAAATTTGCTAACGTCCGTGACCTCGGACGGAAAAATATGGGCAGCAGGTCCATGCCCCAGGGCATGGGTGACCCGCCCAGGTATGAAGTCCTGCTGTTGGACTCCAACGACTGGGAGGAGTATGGTTCGCAAACCACCCCCCATTGGCCGAACAAGCGAAGGGCCCAGGGCCTTTGGTCCACAGTGAGCTCTTTCTCACCTGAGTTGCTGGAGCCTTTGCAGCAGCTGGTGAAGCAGCACCAAGCCGACCTCCAGGCCCTGACCCAAGGGATCTACAACCTTATGGGGAAAACCCTGGTTAAAGGGGAGGCTGAGGATGTGCTCGAGGCCCTGGTCTCGACACAGGCACTTGGGCTATCTCCGGAAGGCCACATCTGCCAATATGTGCTGAAGCAGGGTGGCCCCCACCCGCTTGTACCTGGCCAGACTTGGGAGCTCCACCCGCTGGAACAATTCCAGCAGGGGAAGCTTCGCAAAGCCAGAACCTGAGAAGGGCTAGGGGCGCAGGGCACCCAGGACTGAGTACCCAAGGGGAAAGGTCCCTGGGGCCCTGTCACGCCCCAGCTCTCGCGCTGGGTTTCCCAGGCGCAACCAGCTGAGTATCTAAGGAGAAAGGCTTGGTGGCAATGCTGTAACCAGCGAGTACCCAAGGGGAAAGCTTGGTGGCATCCACAGTAGAACCAGCCGAGTACCTAAGGGGAAAGGCTTGGTGTTAGGTGTAGAACCAGCCGAGTACCTACGGGAAAAGGCTTGGTGCACCGCCCTGGGATCCCAGGCGTCCCAGCTCCAAGAGAGCCTGGGCCCTTTTTACCCCAAAATGGGGAGGCGCGGGAAACCCCACGCCTGTCGTTGGCTTAGGCTAGACCCGTTTCACCCCAAACTTTGGCCTCTGGCCGCACCGCTCGCGCTCTCGAGAAGAAAAGTTTTGCTCTGATCGGAGTCAGCCCCCGCCCTCTCTCGGGTCTCGGGAGAGGTCGGCCCAGCACCCAGCAACCAACAAGCCCCTGTGGCTAAGGCCTTGGGCACTGGAGGTGGACCCAGGGTTCCCGGTTCAACCAGACCCTCGACTAAATCAATGCCCAGGCCGCTGGTGCAGGCAAACCCTGATGCCACCCAGCCCCCGGCTCCCAGCCCGGAGGTAGGTCAGGAGGGCCGGTCTACGGGTTCCCCCAGTCTCCTTTTGCCCGGGCACAAGGCTCGGGCTCCCGACCAATCAACCCGGCCCCTAAGCAGGGCAAACGGAGTAAAACTCCAAGGGCTTCGACGGAGCCTACGGGCGGTCCCAAGCAGGCAAAACTGCATTTTGGGGCGCCCAACCCCCCCCCCTTGTAGGCGCACCGCGCCTGGCCCCGAGGTCCCTCCCGTTGCTTGCTTCTCTCTTTCTCTGCGCAGCTGTTTGGTTCACAGGCGGGCAGCCACCATGGAGAAGGCCAGCCCAGCCGAGCCCCCCAGCAGGGGCAGAGAGCCGGCTAGGGAGAAGGGCCCAGAACGGGGTCGCAGCAAGGGGAAGTCCCCGGCTAAGGGCAAGGGTCCAGACCCAGCCAAGGGCAAGGGTTCCACCCGGCCCAAAGGAAAGGACCCAAAAGGAGCACAACCTGGCCGGGGAAAAAGCCAGTCCCACAACCCGGCTGAGCACAGCAAGGGTGGAAAAGGAAGCCAGGACGCCGCCACTGGCAAAAAGCACAGGTCGAAGAGCTCAAAAGAGTACTCCCAGCGCCGGGCGGGGAAAAAACAACGGGCCGCTGGCCAGTACTACAGGTGGTCGCGTCCCTTGCAGGCGGAACAAGAGCAGCACCGCGACACCCCGCCCCCACCGGTGCCCAAGCGCCGTGGAGGGCGAAAGGAGGAGGATGAGAAAAGTGCTGCCTCGTACTCTTACTACTCTTCCTCCCGTTCCAGGTCGCCCAGGGCCAAGGAAAAGGCGGCTACAAAGGGCAAGGAGAAGCCTACCAAGGCCCCGGCCCACACGGCTGGCCAACGAATGGCCGTCAAATCCAAGGCCAAGCCCTCTCCTGAAGCCGAGGAGGCTTCGGGTTCCCCCGAGCCACTAGCGGCCTCTGCTCCCTCCAGCTCCCAGGCAGGGGTTCCCCCGCCTGCTGTGAACCTCACACGGGCGGCAAAAGAAAAGGAATCCCCGGCCTTTGCTGAGGAAGAGAAGGGTTCCCCGGGTGGGTCGATGGCGGCCAAAGACGAGTCCTCGGACTCTTGCTATGAGCCCATCCGGCTGCGCCCAGCTCCTCTCTCGAGCCCTGCGAGGAGGGCGCTTCCTGTTCCGGATCTGGGTGTGAACATGCAGTTCACTATCCAGCTGAAGGATGCCTCCAAGGAGGCGTGCTCAGGGCGCTACCTGCACGCTGCGTCTTTGGTGTACTTTGCACACCAGGACCGCCAAGGCGCGGAGCCGGGCTCCCCGCAGAAGGTTGCCACGGCCCTGGAAGTGCTTGGCTTAGGGGGTTCACGAGTGGTTTTCCGCTCGCCTTCCAACCCGGCCAAGTGCTGGAAGCTCTCCAAAAGGTCGCAGGAGGCAGAGCGTGACCTGTTCAAAGTCACCGGCCCCTGGACCCCGCGGCACACCAGGGCTTTGGGTGTGCACCGTGTTGTCGAGGAGGGCAAGGGCGGCGCCTCCTTCTTCGCGTCTCTTTTGGAGACGGAACTCGTGGATCCTCTCCCCATGGTCAACCCGCCGCTGATCTTCCAGATCTTCCTAACGGTGTGCCAAGCGGCAAAATTTGCTAACGTCCGTGACCTCGGACGGAAAAATATGGGCAGCAGGTCCATGCCCCAGGGCATGGGTGACCCGCCCAGGTATGAAGTCCTGCTGTTGGACTCCAACGACTGGGAGGAGTATGGTTCGCAAACCACCCCCCATTGGCCGAACAAGCGAAGGGCCCAGGGCCTTTGGTCCACAGTGAGCTCTTTCTCACCTGAGTTGCTGGAGCCTTTGCAGCAGCTGGTGAAGCAGCACCAAGCCGACCTCCAGGCCCTGACCCAAGGGATCTACAACCTTATGGGGAAAACCTTGGTTAAAGGGGAGGCTGAGGATGTGCTCGAGGCCCTGGTCTCGACACAGGCACTTGGGCTATCTCCGGAAGGCCACATCTGCCAATATGTGCTGAAGCAGGGTGGCCCCCACCCGCTTGTACCTGGCCAGACTTGGGAGCTCCACCCGCTGGAACAATTCCAGCAGGGGAAGCTTCGCAAAGCCAGAACCTGAGAAGGGCTAGGGGCGCAGGGCACCCAGGACTGAGTACCCAAGGGGAAAGGTCCCTGGGGCCCTGTCACGCCCCAGCTCTCGCCTTGGGTTTCCCAGGCGCAACCAGCTGAGTATCTAAGGAGAAAGGTTTGGTGGCAATGCTGTAACCAGCGAGTACCCAAGGGGAAAGCTTGGTGGCATCCACAGTAGAATCAGCCGAGTACCTAAGGGGAAAGGCTTGGTGTTAGGTGTAGAACCAGCCGAGTACCTACGGGAAAAGGCTTGGTGCACCGCCCTGGGATCCCCAGGCGTCCCAGCTCCAAGAGAGCCTGGGCCCTTTTTACCCCAAAATGGGGAGGCGCGGGAAACCCCACGACTGTCGTTGGCTTAGGCTAGACCCGTTTCACCCCAAACTTTGGCCTCTGGCCGCACCGCTCGCGCTCTCGAGAAGAAAAGTTTTGCTCTGGCTCAAGTTTTCGGCTCAGGCCCTGGTTTACAGGTGGGCTCGGCGCGAAAGTCATCCAGCAACCAGTCCTGGGCTCTAACTGCGTTTTCAACAGTCCTCAAACGCGTGAATCCCAGGCTTTGCCGTTTCTTTTGTGCCATTTTATCCCACCGATAAGGGCGTCGGCCCTCGGGGGAGCGTGCGGCAGCCACAGCCAAGATGCCAAAGTCCGAAGGCAAAGGCATGATGGGCAGCTACACTGTGTGTCGGTGTGGCCAGTGGATCTTTGATAAAAGGATCGCCAGCCAACCCAAGTGCAGCTGTGGCAGGCAGTGGCCGAAGCCGCGGCAGCCCGCCCATGAATGGGGGGACGCTGTAACGCCACCGCGGCGATGGGGGGGACCACCCGCCCTGAGCCCAACACCGCCGAAGTTTCCAAAGGGAGGGAAGGTGGTGCGGGCCTTAGAAGGGGTGTGGACCCTCCTGCCAGAAGAGGCTCAGGAGCACATGAAAAGAGTGGGTTTCAAGCCGCCTGTGGTCGCTGAGCCTTCCCCAGAAGAGGCTTTGTTGGAAATGCTCAAGGCCCACAAAGCGGCGCTGCCAGATGAGATCCGCTTCCTCATGCAGACACAAGGGGGGCCGCCCCGACAGCCACTGAGGTGGAGATCAAGGCCACCAACGACCTGAAAGGGGCCTCGGGCCGCCTAAGGGACTTGGGGCATAAGAAAATTCGCCTCCAGGGGCGGATAGATGAAGTGAAGGCGACCCTTACGGGGCTGTGTGGCGAGATGAAGGAGCTGCTCCAGGAGCTCAAGGAGGCTGAGGCCAACATGGATGCCTTAGCCCAGGATTTCAAGGCCAAAGTGCTTCAGACCCCCACTTCCCTGGAATTTGAGGAGGTTGATTGTGCCAAGGCCTTGGCTGAGATGGGAGTGATCCTGGACAATGAGCAAGGCCAGCAGCTGAAAGAGGCCCAGGACGCGCACAGGGTGAAATCTCGCCAGCACTTGGCGGACCAGGCCCTGAGAAAGGTCGGCTGCCCGCCGGGCCTCGGCTCTCCAAAAGGGGCCCCTCCGGGGCCATCCTTGTGCCAACACCTTTTGGATCTGGGCATTCCCCTCACGCCTGAGCAAAAAACCGCGGTGGCAGACACTCCGTGGAGCCCTAAGCTCACACCGGAGGCTCTGGAAGCCACCATACAAGAAGGCGCTCATGAAATGGAGGTGGAAGAGCTGGAAAAAGGCAAGGAGGCCATTGTCAAGCAGCTTGAGATCAGGCGCAAGCGCATTCAAAACACGAGCCAGGATGAGAAGAGCAAGCCGGCGGAGGCGCCCAACCGCAGCCGCTCGCCTAAATCCCGAGCCTAGGGAACGGGCCGGGAGGGCTCCTGGTGGGGCCTAGTGTTGGGTTACTGGCCCACAGCGGAGCCTGTCCTCAGGCCAGAGATGGCGGCACTTAGTGCCAGTTTTGTGCCTTTTAAGGTCTGGGCACGACAGGGAGGTGCAAGCCCCTATGCGCAGCAGGGGGATCAAAGGGAGGTCACCTCGCCTATCGACCCCAGGCCATGTACACGAGGAGTTTTTTCAGACCCAGCCTCTCCGGAATGGCGGGAGGTTGTTTCGGGCCCTAGGGCCCGCAGTTTTGCAAAAGCTTCTGCCGAGCCAGTGCCCCTGCACAACAGATTCGAGGCCCTACAGGCAGAACCTGTTCAAGAGTTTGTCTCGCTTCTGGAAAAAGCGTGTGTGGATGGCAAGGCCCAGCATGAATCCAGTTTTGTGGAGGTGGTGGAAAAACTTGAAGCCCCTCCAAAGTCGCTGTTGGAATGGGCAGCGGAGCAGGCCATTGAACAGTTGTCGGTCCGCCGCAGTGACCCCGAAGCTTGCCTTGCCGCGATTGAGGACGCGGCGCAGCAACCGGACAGGGTCCAACCGGAGGCGGCCCTCAATTTGGTGGTGGCAAATGTCACCAGCTGGAGAAAAGAGGTCTGCACGTGGATGCTCACAGACCAGCCTGATGTAATCATGCTGCAAGAAACCCATGTTGCTGAAAAGCAACAGGAGAGCATGCAGCTTGCACTCGAAAAGGCAGGATACGTTGCTTGGAACCTCCCAGCCCACCCAACCAAGGGGGGCAACAACATGGGGGGTCTCTTGGTCGCGGCCAGGAAAGACAGGAATTTCTGGTTGCTGCGCTCCTTTGGGATAGATGGGAAAGGCTACCTGGCCATCGGAGGCCGGGCTGGTGGTCGGGATTTCATTCTCCTGACTGTGTACCTGGAGACTGGAGTGGGCCTCCATGGGGGGGTTAACCCCGCCCTTATGGGGGACCTGATCGCCTTCATTAAGGGCCTTACGGTGCCGTGGCTCATTTTTGGTGACTTCAACCTGCCAGTTGGCGAAATGGAGAATACCTCTGTCCCAAGGGAACTCAATGGGGAGGTGATCGCGGTAGGCAGCCCCACTACCTTGCATGGGACCGAAATTGACTTTGGAATTGTCAGCCGGTCTTTGTGTGATAGTGTTTCTATCCAGCAAGACTGGGAGGTCCCGTTTCGCCCACATTGCGCACTACGGGTGGTATTCGGTGTGGGGGATTTCCGGGCCCATGTGCTCCAAACCGCGCCTTTCCAGAGGGCGGTCGACCCAAATCCGGAACCCTTTGCTACCACACAGGGGCACCGGGTCCCTGCCTTGCTTTTGGAACCCCGCAGAGAAGATGAGGCCACAACGGCCTTTGCGGATTTCACAGCCAGAGTGGAGGCCAGTCTTCATCCCAGGGCCAGAAGCGGTCGCGGCCACCAGGTTGAAGTGAAGACCGGGCCGCTGCTTCCGCCGAAGCCCACAGGGTATGTCTGGACGGGTGGACCCGCCAAGTTCTGGGGGCGCCTAGCGGTCCTGCACACGAAAGGCGCAAAGCATGGGCTTAGCATGAAGGCCCAACAGGTTTTGCAGCAGCATCTGCAAGAAGTGCCCAATCATTGGGGGGAAGGTGATGGACCCGCCCTGGACCAAGCGATGCAAGAACTTACTGCCAACTGTGCCAAGCCGGGAACCCAGGGCCGACAGGCAGGCAGCATCATCGAGGCCCAGCGGAAACATCACTTGCAGCTGCACCATAGTTTTGGGGCAGCACAGTACCAACAATGGTTAGAAGGTGCCTCTACTGGCGGGCTAAGGCCCCTTTTCCGCAGCCTCAAAAAGAACGAGGCGCAAGCTTCCAGACCGTACCTCGAACTTGCGGTGGAGGTGAGGCCTCACGCAAGGAGATCCGCATGGGCAGAGTTGTGGAAGCCGGGGGGTGCGCAGCCCACCCAAGGAACGGAAGCCAGAACGATGCTCCAGCAAAAGGCACGTGAACAGGCTCAGAGCACAGTGGCCCTAACCAAAGAGGCCATGGCAAAGGCCTTTGCCAGACTCCCAACCAAGGCCCCAGGACCGGATGGATGGAGTTACGAAATGCTCAGGGCCCTGCCTGAGGATGCTGTCGCTGAGTTGGCTACCCAGCTCAGAGGATGGGAGCTGTCAGGCTCCTTTCCTCAGCATATTGATATCACTCAGTATGCCATGCTGGCCAAGAGCCGAGAGGCGGAAAGGCCAATCGGCCTCACGCATGTGTTGCACCGGGTCTATTGCAAGATGCGATGGGACATGGTCCGAGAATGGGAGGCATCGTACGACCTGACCTCGCCTTGGAACCAGGCCAAGGCGGGCAACAGCTCCCTGGACACAGCGCTGAGACGCATCCTCCGCGCTGAACTCAACAAGCGGGCCGGGAAAATCACCATCACCTTGCTGCTGGACTTAACGTCCTTTTACGAAACAGTACCACACCAGGTGCTGTTAGAGAAAGGGGTGGTCCACCACTTCCCGGAGATGCTATTGGAAAGAGCCCTCAGCTGCTACGAGGGCCCCCGGTACATTGAATCCCAAGGCGCCCTCTCAAGGCCCATCTGCGGAAGCAGGGGCCTCATAGCGGGCTGCCCGCTCGCTCCGGCTCTTTCGCGAGTGATCCTCCATGAGCCGGTCGCTAAGGCCTTCCAGCGCAGCACCACAGACCACGTCGATCTGTGGATAGATGACTGTTCGGTCGATACCGTCGATCAAAATGTGCAAAGGACTGCTGCGGCAGCATTTGCCTGCTACAAGGAGCTCAAGCAGGACCTGGAGGCGCAAAGCCTGCAAGTCTCCACCAAAAAGACGGTCTTTGTGTGCTCCAGTCAAGCTGCTGGCAGGGCAGTAGAGGCCCTGGCTGGGCCTGATGGTCCCAAGGTTGTTGGAGTTGGCAAGGACCTTGGCCTGGATTCTGCGGCCGGTGCCAGGCGCAGGATCACCACCACTAAAGCCAGACACCTTTTTGCAATCTTTGAAAATCGGCAAAGTTGGCATCAAGGTGCGGCTCTACAAAGGATCCATCCTTTCCTCGGCCCTGTATGGGCATGAAGGTGTTGGTGTTGCCCCCAAGAGAAGGAAGTGGTTCAGGGGGCTTCTGGCACAAGTGCTGGGCCGACCAAACAATGCCAGCATAGGAGCCACCCTGGACTTCCATGGCAACAAGGTCGAGGACCCTTGGTACACAA